AACACCGCATCTGCTGCAGACAACGGCCATCGGCCACATGACGGGGTTGCAGTACTCTACGTACCGAGAATGCGAACACCTCACCAGACCTAACAAAAGCAAGGTTTCATGCTGGACGAGAAGCCACGCCTCTTCCTTACTCCCAACATTCAGGACAAGTACTTCGTACGTGCTTTCCTCGAGTACCGACTGACTCAAGCATTCGGAGTCATGCTTGCCGCGCTTAAGCTTTTCCGGCAGGACGCTGCGTCCCATCTCATCCATCCTAGACCACCCCTGCAGCTGATCGGAAGCGTTCCTGCGTCTTCAGTCTTGCGGCTTTATGTGCTTTGCAAGTTTGCAACAATGGTCCGCCCATAGACTGTCAGCCCCCAAAGGCCAAGCAGTATGAACTCATGCCATGATGCGCCCACAACGGTGCAAATCTGAAGACTGCAGCGACTGCGCGGATTTCCTGTTGCATCCTCCTCCTACAAACATCTCTGACCATGCGTTAGGCCTAAGCACGGAAAGCTCGCCGCATAAGCGCTGGCGATCGATGTCGATCAACCACTCCAACATGGCATGATGCAGCTGATGTATTACCGACGACCTCGGGCATGTTTTGACCAAAAGTTGGATTGCAAGTCCATCTTGCGTCGAAATGATGGCCTTCTTCCAAGGAGTACCGGATTTACATCACCACTACCAGCACCACAGCGAAGATGGTTCAGCGATACATATCTGGCCGACGCCAGTTTAACTGGTACAACCTGATGATCATCATCGGCGCCTCCTTCGGGTCCATGTCATATGGCTACGCGTCCTCTGCGATAGCACCCATCCTTGCGCAGCCCACCTTTCTGCAATACTTTGAGCTCGACACCCGATCTGACAGCACAGCATTACAAGGCACGTTCAATGGCGTCTTTCAAACGGGCGGATTTCTGGGGGTCTTCACTGTCAGCTGGTTCGCGGACAGATATGGACGCAGGATGGGCATTGCTGTTCCTGCCGTGATCCTCGTTGTCACCGCTGCCCTGCTTGCTGGCTCGACCAATGTGGCCGAATTCATCGTTTGGCGCTTCATTGCAGGAGCCGGCACATTCATGATCTTGGCTGCTGTGCCTACATACATGACGGAGGTGGTCCCTCCAAGGAACCGTGGCATGCTGGTGGATATTCACGGCGCTGCGCTTCTGTTCGGGTATATGGTTGTCATCTGGATTGGCTATGCCGTATACTTCTGGAGTAGCGAAAACAATTGGAGGCTTGTGTTTGGTAAGTCCGGCAAGAGTTCTGAGGAAGGCAATAGGTGTATCTAACAGGACCATCAGCACTTCAAGCCTTCTTTCCGCTTGCGGTGCTCGCAATGCTTCCTTTCGTCCCTGAAACGCCCCGTTGGCTTGTTATGAAAGGTCGCGCCGACGAAGCAAAGAAGGCTCTCGACAGGCTGCATACACCCGAAGAAGCTGTTCTGGAGTTTGAGCAAATCTGCAAACAGCTGGAAGTCGATCGAACGTTACCCAGCAGCTATTGGTCGATGCTCACAAAAAAGTCATATAGAAAGAGGACGCTTCTGGCCTTGGGCACAACTTGTGGCATCCAATTCTCCGGCATCCTGGTGATCAACAATTACCAGCCGACGTTATATGGCATTCTCGGATATGCAACGGACCGACAGCTTCTACTGGAAGGAGGGTGGATCACACTGGCTTGGGGCGCAGGTGTCGCGGGCTGCTTCATCATCGACCGACTACCGCGGCCAAAACTGATCGCGGGTTCGTTGGCTGGATGTATGGTCTGCCTGATCATAGTTGCGGCACTCATCGCGAACTTCGTGCCAAGCGATAACACCTCAGCCACTAATGCTATCGTTGCATTCATCTTCCTTTATGTGATTTTCTATGAAGGTGGACTGGATGGCACACAAGCTGTCTACCTCGGGGAACTCTTCCCTACACATCTGCGGGCGAAGGGTATGAATATTGGCATGGCAGGTCAGTCATCCTTATTCTTTCTTTCATATTATCTCGCTGACATATTACGCATAAGGTATCTGCTTGATGAACATTGTCTGGCTGCAGTCTGCGCCCACCGGCATCGCTAATGCTGGATGGAAGTACTTCCTCGCATACATCATTCCGGGTTGTCTCACCGTGGTTGGGATATGGTTGTACTTCCCAGATACCTGGGGCGTGCCATTGGAGGAGGTCGCGGCAATATTCGGGGATGCAGAGGAATTGAAAGTCGAGTCTGTAGCTGCTTCGGAGACTGCTACAATGACAGATGAAAAAGACGGCCCGCAGCATCTCGACCATAGCGGTCACAAGAACTCTGTCGAGCAAAAAGAGGTGGTGTAGGGTGCGAGCTCAACGACGTCAATCACAAGCTGCATGATCACAATTCAACACTTCGTGCCACGCTATATTCCAACCTCATCTTTTGCGCCGTCGACAGGGTAGGTAACAGGGTGGATACCTGCTCCGCCGATAGCCTCAGACGCATTCAGGTCACACAGCAAACCCGTCATCGAATCATACTTGGAGTTCCAGCACTTCTCTATATATCTTCCAAGCACAGGAGCGTCGTCTACTGGAGGCAGTTCTTTCGCCTTCAGACGCCTCTCAATCTCATCACGATCTTCGTCGCTCCTCAAGCCTTGCATTGAATCTCTACACGTCTCCATGTTGAACATTGCCGACCCAAGTGCAAAGATCTCCGATGCAATCGAAATGTCTTTACGCCATTTGCCACCATCGTTCACCCAAAGCTGATGCGTCTCACGATACATCATTAGCGGACTGCCACCATCAATTGCAGCCGCTCCAAAATCAGCAAGCTTCAAGTTGAGCTCGTTGTCCAGGAAGAAGTTTGGGACATAAATGTCACAATGGAGAATGCCACAGGAATGGACAAATGCCAGTGCTTCCGCGGCTTGTCTGGCCCATCGCAACAGAACATCACTACTGGGAGCAGACTTGGAGCCACGGCATTCCCTCAAGAAGTTGTCCATGCTTCCTTTCTGGGCGAGCTCGAGAATTAAACCGAGCGGCTCGTCGACGCCATAGAATTTCAGAACGCTTGCTGGTGGGTTATGTTGGGCAATGCGCTCGTTTGCTGCGAGCTCTCGTCGGAATTGTTCCTCACAGGGATAGTATAACTTTTTGTCGAGGACCTTGACGACTTTTTGAGTGTTACTTAAGCGGAAGATCGTGGCAGTCCAGCCGTCGGCTAGGAACTGGCGTTCTTCGTGAGCCATTGGGCGATCAACTGCAGTTGGATCAGGGGAACCAGTGCAAAAAAGGTGCGTATTGATGTCTGGTATCAGATCGAAAGGAGCACTAACGAGAAGTGTACAGACCTGACAACGACGAACATGCCAGATAACTCTCTATTTCAGGCACCCATTGCATGCATCCCTGCAGCGCCAGACCATTTCTGGCCAAGCTCTATTTAAACCTATTGAGTGCATGCATAAAGAGCTGATATACAGTCAAACAATCATCAGAGCGATGCTCACCAACAGCCTGTTCTTACGAGTCTGCTGGTCTCTGGAAGGATGAATTGTTCCAAGCCTGGGTCGATGGTGCCTTCCCAAGAAGGAATCAGCATGGGCTTATCACCTTATCTTATCTTGCAGCTGATCTCGCGTTTTATATGATCTTACGCGTGGAGTGAAGACCATCAATTTACAACAAGGACTTCGAAAATTTGACCCGCACATCTGGTTGTGCGACTGTTATCTTCGTTGACTGTGTCGCTATTCTGAGTTACTGCATTCTCGCTATCAGCCACGACTTTGCTGCCATGCCTCCAAAGAGTATGAGGTTCATGTGTCTCTTCTGTTTTCATGCTGACTATACACAGGAAAATCAGACGCTACAGATGCTGCCGGCCCAGCCACGAAGAAGATCCAGACCACTTCCCCGAAGATCTACACGCGTGAAGAAGTCAAAAAGCTCGATCGTTCGGTTCTTGAAGAACTCTTCCTCGAATCTCAAGAGCGCGCTCAGTCCACCGCACTGACACCACTATCGGCCACATCCTCCAAAGTCAATTCCTCGGCCTCTTCATGGACCGAGGACAAAATCAAAGACAGTGCCCGCAAACTGCGAACCACCATTGCCAGAGAAATCAAGAAGCAGATGAAGTGGCAGCCGTCATGTAAGACCGGGATGACCAAGTGGAGCTACAGCAGTGCTGTTGCACACGAGGATGTCTTCTATAAGGCTTTCCGAATTGAGAAGGGCGGGAAGAAGTGGAAGCAGAAGAAGGTGCCGATGAGGGAGTTTGAGGCGTGTTTTGGTATTGTTACTGCTTCGGTGAGTTGTGTGATGTGATGTGAGGATACGGATGATGCTGATGAGATGTAGGTGCGATACAATGATCTGAGGATCACGGGTGAGCATGTTAATTTGCATTGGGATAGGGATGAGAATACGTTCCGGCTTGCGGGGACGTATGGACTGTGAACAGTGCGCGGCCGCTAGCGCTTCTACCCCCTGTTTCTCGCAATCAAGGACTGCATTCACACATCTCGCAACATGCGATTCGGCGAGGGATATCAAGCATGGAACTGAGTAGTCACAGGTGTGGAGTAAGAGCATTGAAGCAGAGAGCGCTGAGGGAAGTTCGACGTCTACTAAATTGCTAAGTCAATCATGCCAGCTCTATTTGCATCAGTTTCCTACATCTCCTTCGACGCCTCTGTGGTCATTGCTGTCTCGGCCGCACAGACATGCCAACCTCCAATTTTATCAGCTGTGAACGCCTATCCGACGACCCACAATATCCAAGTGATCCTATGGGAACTCAAGAGTCTAGTGATATTCCTAATTTGCCATATTATCACGGAGCTTATGGACGCATTCGAATATAGCATTTCTCTCCCATGGCCAGGTTCTACGGAGAGTCCACACTCGCCGGCAACATCCCTTTGTCCAACCTACCACTCAACACAAAGGACTAAAGATTTATATGCTGCATCACCAAGTTATGTCGCAACTCCAATAGGAAAAGCCGTCATAGCTCAGTGGTAGAGCGTCAACCTGTGGCAGACAAAGAAAAGGGTATGGGTTCCCTTGTTCTCCTCAGGACAGTTGAAGGTCGTGTGTTCGATACTCACTGACGGCATATCTTTTTGTGGTTTACGTGAGCTTCGCATCAATCTTGACCAACGTTGCTGCCACTTTGCTGCGCCCTGACCATCATTGTGGATGGCATACCTTCGACACGCTCTTGATCATGGTTGATGACTTTACAGACGGAAGCGCTGAGTGCCGAACGTGGCGAGCCGCTTGATCAGGCAGAAGGATCTACCAAGCGACTTGAACGTCAACAGCGGGTTGTGCACCATGCAGAACTGTGATGATAGTCTGATCACCGCTTTTTTCCCATTACCAGCAAAAGGGTGCACTTAGCAGGTTAGGGCTTCAATGCTTCGTCTCGTCATTCGCGGTGTGTATGGCACCTTCAAGCAACGATCACATTCTGAGTTTAACCCCATCACAAAGAGCATAGACCTCAACCCCAACTACAGCAAAAAGCCATCGTAGCTCAGTGCTAGAGCGTCAATCTTGCAAGTGGCAGACAACGCAAAGGAAGAAAGGGAAGCGGGAAGTCCGCCTTTGTCCACCAGGACGTTGATGGTTCTGCGAAGTGGAAGGACTTAGCTGCTGCGCCAGTCGATCGTATTATTGGCTTCCAGCAGGACGCCCGACGTCTCCATCTTTTTGGACAGATGCTTCCGGGAGCAAGACAGAGAATCATAACGTTTGCGGAAGCGTATTGACAGGCTTCGTGGTTTGTTTATACCCGTGAGCACAGCACCGCTAGGTCACAAGCCGGTTGGAAGAAATGACACGATTCTATATGTGCATTAGGGGTAAGTGGTACTCAACATCCGTCTTTCCAAGACACCAGCTCGAACAGCGGCTGAATCCCCAGTGGTGTAGATCCATGTCTTGCTCCATTCTACCTCTCCACACGATACATGCTTCCATCCGCTGATGCCATCTCCATCTCCATCTCCTTCCTCACCACTCAAATTTCTCCCCAACCCACCCCTCACTCATCTCCCACAACTTCCCCGCAATCTCCTTATCAACCGCATACCCCGGCGCCGGTGGCTTCGTCGCAACCTGACAATCACTCAAAAACGATGTCTTCCCCTCCCCTTCCCCTCCAACACTCAACTCCGGATCACACGCCGCCACCAGCGTCGTCGCAGCCCCCTGCCCCAAACTCTTATACCCCATCAACCCCATCTTCAACTGCTTCTTATGCACAGACTCATACCACTCCTGATCCGTGCTCCTCGCCAACTCAGTCCGCATCTCACCCGGGTGCAGCGCGATGCTGACCACGCCGTGCTTGGAGAGTCGTTCATTCAGCCCGACAGTGAAGAGGATATTCGCCGTTTTGGACTGCCCGTAGGCTGCCATGGGGATGTAGGTCATTGAGTCGTTGACGTCGAGGTCGGCGTTGCGCATCATGGCGAGGTTTGGGCGTTCGTTGTCTGGGAGGGAGGAGATGGGGGTTGTGATGTTTGGGTCTGTGGTGCGGAGGGGGGAGACGTAGGTTGCTAGGCTGGAGAGGTTGATTATGCGGGTTGAGTTGGCTGGGGATGTGGTTGAGTCTGCTGCGGCAGCTAGGATCTTGGGCATGAGGAGGTTGGTGAGGAGGAAGTGGCCGAGGTGGTTGGTTGCGAGGTGGAGTTCTATTCCGTCCGGGCTGAGGGTTTGAGTGGGGATGTTCATTATGCCGGCGTTGTTGATTAGGAGGTCGATTTTGGGGACATCGGACCAGTTGAGGACTTCCGTGGCGGCGGTGCGGACGTATTGTTGGGAGGAGAGGTCGACTTGGAGAGGGCGGTAGGAGACGTCGGGGTATTGGGCTTTGAGGCTATCGATGCATTCTTGGATTTTGGTTGTAGAGCGGCCGGCGAGGATGAGGAGGCGTGGGGATTGGGAGGCGAGAGCTTCGGCTGTGGTGTAGCCGATTCCTAGCTTGTTGATGCCGGTGATGAGGATTGTGCGGTCTTTGATGGCGGTGGGGAAGGCGGCGGCGACTGTGAGGGCTTCGGTGGTGGGGCCGAAGTCGGGGTGGGTGGTGGATGCCATGGTAACGGTGTCAATGTGTAAGTGTGTGGGTGAAAGTTGAGTTTGGTAGAGTGGTTCTGGATTGGGTGCCACAGCTTATACTGCTGCGATGAAGAGAGCTCTTGTCGCGATGTGACCTGCTTCAATTTTATGGTTTTGTTCCATGATTGCGGTAGGCCTATGTATTTATACTGTTCCTTGCTCCTGGACCATGCAGTCACCAGTAGATTGGGATCGGAGTGGTGGTATGGTGCGTCTTAGCCACTCGGAAGTTTGGGACTCTGGTTGGCTCAGGCCAAGGATAAGCTGACTTGAAGCACCGGTTAACGTCCAAATATGCTCGAGGATTGTGAGATAAGTCCTATCACCGACTATGCCAGAACGATACAATCATGGCAAACATGAGTCCTTGCGACGTCGTCCATCCGAAGCCGGTAGTGGAACAGAATGCCCAAGCAGCAAAGGGGGGTTCGTTCTGCTCCATTGATTCGCTCGCTCGGTATTGCTCTGTTGTGATTGGTTCGGGGCCGATAGGCCCCGCTTCGCCCAAGCTCATCCGTGCCGCGCCTTGCCGCGAGCCTCTAGCTTTTGTGTCAAGCCGGGACTCATACTAGGGAACATTTGAGTCCTTAGCTCAGCGAGTTTCGACCGATTCAAGCGCACATGAGCCACCGTCATATCAGAAGGTGGTCTTGCTTTCCTTCAACCGACCAACTCCGACCAGGTTTGGGCAAGGTCATCATACTGGATTGCAGTGCTACTACCAGGAAGAAATTTTGTGCCAAAGCCGCACTTCAAGATGATTCTCCCTGAGGGTCCGTCCGGTAGGATCACCTTGGCTTCCTTCAACCTGTGTTCCGCAGGCGGCACCGGCAGCAGCAACTCTTGTACCGTCGGAACGGAAAGTAGGTCAAACTCCTCATCTGCTGCCTTGAGATCGTCATAGAACTCGCGTTCCTCGAGTGCCATGGCCTTTCTTGCGACAATCGCGGCTATATTTCCATCCCATATTCCTTCCTTGTGCAGCGTCGACTCGATCAGTCGGATCGCCTGTAGTCTCATACGATGGTGGCGACATTTCATTGCTGTGTAGAAGAGCGGAGCAATCCATCCCATATCTGAAGTGGAATCCGAGCTGGAATCCCCGGTATGGTGGAAGTAGCTCGACTTGAGACCATTGGTTCCTAAGACATTCTTGTAGCTCTGTATGCAGCAGCTGATGATAGAGATAAACTCGGATGTATGGTCATCATATGATGTCTCGTTGCTTGACTTGCTACAGACGCTTACCATGATACTAGCCATCGTATGGTACATACGCAAAAGGAGATAGGCGAAGCGGTCGAGGGGGTTGAGCATGTGCGACAGGTTTCTCAACGTTCTGTCAAGATTCTCTATCCAGCACTGGAGCTTGTCTTGTATCAGTCCGCAACTGGTGTGAAGGTCTGCTGTCATGCGTGTCTCGTGAAGGCGGTGTTCCTCCAGAAGGAGGATTTGAAGCAGAAGACATTCAAGCATGCGCCTGGCTTGATGTATAGAGTCAAAGGTGTTTCCAGTCTGGTGGGACTCAGTAAGGGCGACGAAATGGTAAGATAATTGCACATCTTGTCCCAGGAGTTTTGCTTGAACCAGTAATCTTGTGAAGATCGTAACAATCCAGCCATCAGTAAATGTGATCGGGGTTGTCAAGCCGTTGGGTGATATGCCAGCAAGCGATCCACGGTCTTGAATTATAGCCAATCCATGCTGCAAATGGTTGATGCCTGTCCTGTAATGTCCACTTAGAAAGTCGAGATAGATGAACGTTGCGCAAACAAGAAGAGCCACACGGACGGATAACCGTGTTTGATCTGAAAGATGAGGCTGAAGATGCTCAATCGCTTTGCCGTATTGCTGGAAGGCCAGCAACTCTTGTTGAGTATTACCCTGCAAGGATCGATCATTGGCGTGAAGGACCTTCGTCCTGTGGGTGGCGCTTAAGGCCAATACAGCGTGTAGTACCGCTGGTTCTGCCAAGCTTGTCTGGAACAGCAGCGTTGTCCAGTAGGTCGAGACGAAAGCGCCCGGTAATTTTCTCGCACTTCGACAAATGTACCATTCAAAACACTGTTGCTCATCTAGAGTCAACTTGAAGAGTCGAAGCGTTCGTGGCGTTGTCGTGCCGGTCGACATACGTGTGCTGCGTTCAAGCTGCTCGGAAGTATTTTTGGAGGTTGTACATCGCTGACTGTACGCATTGCGGCCGCCGCCACCCCAGATGCCATAACCGTCACAGGTACGTTCAGTTGAACGACATCTCTGGCAACTAGGCCACTGCTCATCACACTTCACCTTCCGTAGTCTGTCGATAGCACAGTCAATTCATGCACAAATCCTGAAATAGCCAGACTCACTTGCATGTTCGGCAGCCGGACTTGACCTTCCTTTTACCGGATGTGGCTACTTTCCGAATTTGTGGCTGACCCATGAGTGTTTGGAAGTTGATGCGGTAAGAACGGCTGTGCTTCAGACTTCGCAAGGCTCTGATAGCTGTAACCAGATGCCCATGATACAGAAGTCGCTTCTTTCGAATTCGAACATTGCTTTTCCGAATTGGTCCCACCTATCATACGAGCTTACATGTCTGAACATGTGCATGACTCCAGTCACAGGGTGCAACACTCGTTGCCTAGTTCTGTCTAGTGTGCTACCCCAGAATAGATCTAAGGCCGTGGGTGGCCGTAACTTGAGGTCTACTACAGCCTGAGCAGGAGAAGCGTGCTAAACAGCTCAGCTCGGAGCTAAGAACTGCTTAGCTAAGCGTTCTTCAATTCGTCAGCTCGCATTTCCTGCGTAATGGTTGGCTGTCTTCAAGGCTGACGTCATTGCGCCTCAAGCTCTTGCTACTGTTATCGAAAACAGCTCATCATCCTCCTTCTTGCGAATTCTTCGTCTAGAGTATGCCAGGTAGTAGCCATCATGCCATCATGCCATCACTAAGTCCCAAGGAGACTCACGCAGCTCACTTTCTGCAACTGGACGATCCTGTCTCCT